AGAGGACAAAGAAGATGGAAAGATACCCCATGCTCTTGGATTGGAAGAATTAACATTGTGAAAATGTCCATATTTCCCAAAGTGATCTACAGATTCAATGCAATCCCCATCAAAATTCCAATGATATTTTTCTCAGAAATGGAAAAAAAACTATCCAGAAATGTAATAACAAAAGACCACACATAACTAAAGCAATCCTGGGCAAAAACAATAAAGCCGGTGGCATAACACTACCTGACTTTAAACTATACTACAAAGCTATAATAACCAAAACAGCATGGCACTGGCATAAAAACAGACACACAGATCAATGGAATTGAATAGAGAATCCAGAAATCAACCCATACACCTAAAGCCATCTGATCTTTGACAGATGTATTACTTATCTGATTAAAAATTAAACAAAAAAACAAAAAAACAAACAAAAAAGACAACCAACAGAGTGGGAGAAAATATTTGCAAAATATACATCTGACAAAGGATTAATATCCAGAATATACAAGGAACTCAAACAACTTCACAGCAAAAAAACAAATAACCTAATTAAAAAATGGGCAAAGGAGCTGGATAGGCATTTCTCAAAGGAAGATATACAAATAGCCAAAAGACACATGAAAAAATGCTCAGCATCACTCAGCATCTGGGAAATGCAAATCAAAACAACTTTGGGATACTATCTCACTCGTTAGGATGGCTAACATCCAAAAGACTGAGAATGATAAATGCTGGTGCAGTTACAGAGGAAAAGGAACTCTCATACACTGTTGGTGGGACTGCAAAATGCTGCAGACTTTATGGAAAATGGTATGGAGGTTCCTCAGACAATTACAGATAGATCTACCATATGACCCAGCTATTCCACTGCTAGAAATATACCGAGAGGAATGGAAATCATCATGCCAAAGGGATACCTGTACTCCAATGTTTATTGCAGCTTTATTTACAATAGCCAAGAGTTGGAACCAGCCTGGATGTCCATCATCAGATGAGTGGATAAGGAAACTGTGGTATATCTACACAATGGAATACTACTCTGCTATAAAAAAAGAATGAAATACTGCCATTTGCAATGACGTAGATGGACCTAGAGAGAATTATATTAAGTGAAACAAGCCAGGCACAGAAAGAGAAATATCACATATTCTTGCTTATTTGTGGGAGCTAAAAATAAAGAAAGGAAGAAAGCGGGGGGGGGGGGGGGGGGGAGAAGACAACAATCACAACAATTCCTTGACTTGTTAAGACAAGTGAACAGATATAATGGAGTGGAGTGGGGGAAGGGAGAGAAGGAGGGGAGAAAGAGGACCGGGTAAATGGACATAAAAATCAACTACAATGTATATTGAGAAATTAAAGTAAAAATAAATTAAAAATAATAAAAACAAATAACTACTAAAATATGAGCTTGTTCCTATGCATATTTGGTAAATTGATAAAAATATGTATAAAAATTATTTCTACTGGAGATTCAACCATTTCCCCCCCCCCCCCAACT